GAAGAGGCCCCCGGGGGGGGGGGAACGCTCCCCGAGCTGCCTGTAAACCCCTTAAAAACCCCTTAAAAACCCTGATACCCCTTCAAAACCCCCTTAAAACCCCTTAGAGCTCCTTAAAAACCCTGATACCCCTTAAAAATAACCCCTTTAAACCCCTTAAAAACCCCCTTAAACCCCTTAAAAACCCTCATACCCCTCAAACAAACCCTTAAAACCCCTTCAACCCCCTTAGAACCCTGATACACTTTCAAAAATCCCCTTAAAACCTCTTCAAAAACCCCCTTAAAACCCCTTAGACCCACTTAAAAATCCTGATACCCCTCCAAAATCCCCTTAAAACCCCCTAGACCCCTTCAAAAAAAACCTTAAAGCCCCTTAAAATCCCCCTTAAAACTCCTTAGACCCACTTAAAAACCCTGATACCCCTCAAAAAAAACCTTAAAACCCTGATACCCCTTCAAAAACCCCTTAAAAAAAACCCTTAAAAGCCCTTAAACCCTCTTAAAATCCTGACACCCCATCAAAAAACACCTAAAACCCTGAGACCCCTTCAAAATATTGCTTAAAACCCCTTAAAACTCCCAATACCCCTTAACAAAATCTCTTAAAACCCCTTAAAAATCCTGATACCCCTCCAAAAACCCCTATAGCCCCTGATACCCCTTAAAAAACACCCTTAAAAGCCTTTAAAACTCCTTTAAAAAAACCCAACACTTAAACCTCTTTTAACCCCCCTTAAAACCCATCTTTAAAACACCTTAACCCCCCCTTAAAAGCAACTCTTAAACCCCTAATACCCCTTAAAAAAACCCTTAAAACCCATCAACCCCCCTTAAAAACTCTGATACCCCTTAAAAACCCTTTTTAAAAACCTTCAGATACCCCTTTTAAACTACTTAAAAAAAAAACTCCTTAAAACCCATTAGAATACCCCCTTTGAAACCCCTTAAAAAACACCCTTTAAACTCCTTTAAAAACCTCCTAAACCCCTTTTTTAAAAAAATCCCTTAAAAACCCCTTAATCCTCCTTAAAAAAAAATCCTTAAAACCCCTTTAAATGAACCTTTAAAACCCCTTAGAACCCCACCTTAAAACCCTTTAAAAAACCCAAACACACCCAAACCCCCTTTAAAACCCCTTAAAAACCTCTTAAAAAAAGCCCCTTCAACCCTACTTACAATTAAACCTTAAAATGCCTTAAAACCTTTAAAACCCCTTAAAAAGATCCTTAACACCCCTTAAAAACATCTTAAAACCCTTAAAAAAAACCCCCTTACATTTAAAACTTAAACCCCCTTAAAAGACCCTTAAAACCCCTTAGAAAAAGCCCCTTTACCCTTAGAAAAAGCCCCTTTAACCCCCCTTACAATGAAACCTGAAAAATCCACTAAACCCCCCTTAAAATAACCTCTTAAACCCCCCTAAAACCCCTTCCACCCCCTGAACCCCCCCCCAAATCCCATGGGAACAACCTCCCCATCCCCCCCAAATTCCCACAATCTCTCTTCAAACGACTCAATCATAGAAAAAAAAAAAGCACATTTTTATTTAAAATCAAAACCTCACAAAAATAAAAAAACCCAACAACAAATCAAAACACCCCTCAAAACCCTTGAATAAAATAAACCCCCGGGTTGGGTGTAAAAAAACAACCCTCCCCCCCCAAAATCTGCCACCACCTTCGTTGCCTCACAATAAATAGACCAAAAAAATAGAATAAATTAGGTTAAAAAACAAAAAAAGGCAACTCTGGCAGATTCATGTGGAAATATGGGGGGGGGAAATCCCAAATAATTAAAATTCCCAAATCCAAGAGGAATAAAAGGAATAAATAGGGGGGAGGGGGAAATGAAGCCCAAATTGGCCCGTTTGGGGTATTTTTTTTAAGCTTGAAATGTGGAAAAAAATGATAAAAAAGAGGAAAAAAATATAAAAAGGGGGGAAAAACTCATTAAAAAAAGAGGAAAAAATCACAAAAATGAGGAAATAATAAATCCCCCCCCTTTCCCAGCCCAAAATTGAGCTTGAAATGTCCTTTTTTTTTGAGGGGGGGGGACCCCACACTTTAGGGGAGTGACACCCGTTTTGTTTTGGGGAGAATATTAATAATAATACTACAAATAAAAAAACCTTAATAATAATAATAATAGGATCAATAAATAAGCCCCTCGGGCAGGAGGGGGAAGGGTCTTCATTTGCTTTCAAGTATTTTTGGGGTGCAAAGGGGGGGGGGGAATGGATTTTAAATGGGGACCCCCCCCGAGCTGAGCTGCTCCTGCAGCCCCAGGAGGCTGTAGATGATGCGTTTCTGGTGCCCCGGGAGCCGGACCCCGATCCTGCGGATATCCCTGGAAATCCCAAGGGAAAAAGGGAAGGATGAAGCCAAGAAACCAGAAAGGATCCAGGTTTTTGGGGGATGGGGAAAGGCTGAAAAGGGTCTTGAGGGGGTGGAGGTGGGGGGAGCAAAACCACACACCCCCACTCTGCAGTTTTTGTGGGATTCATTCCCAAAGGATGGGAGGTGGATGTGGCTCATCCCTGGATCCCGGCCTGGGGTGGTTGGATTTTGATCCCATCCTTGGGGTCAGGGCCAAGGGCAGGGAACTGCTTCCTGTCCCAGCACATCCCTGTTCCCGTGGGATGTTGGGGGGTGTGGGGACAGGATGGGGACACACCATAGGGACAGTGTGGGGACAAGATGGGCACACCACGGGGATACCAGGAGGATGCACCAGAGGGACAGGATGGGGACACACCATAGGGACAGTGTGGGGACAGGATAGGGATAGTGAGGGAACAGCATGGAGACAGCAAGGGAAGAGCATGGGGACAGGATGGGGACACAAAGGGGATGGATGGGGACACCCCAGAGGGACAGCATGAGGGATGGAGGGGGAATGCCAAGAAAAGTGCCTGGAGACACCATGAGAACAGGATGGGGACACCATGGGGACAGGATGGGGACAGGACAGGGACAGGACAGGGGAGCAGACTCACTCGCTGGTCATCTGCAGGACCTGCTCGATGCTGCTGTATCCCGAGGCCAGGAAGGTCTCCGTGTACTGGGCCATGCGGATGGACTCCAGCCACTCGGGGACCGAGCGGAAGGGAACCCCCTCTGCCCCGCTGGTGCTGGGCAGGCGGATGGACACCCTGGGGAGACAGGAGGGCAGAGTCAGGGTGTGACTGGGAAGGTGCAAAAGATCACGGAATCATGGAATGGGATGGAAGGGACCTTAAAGACCATCCAGTCCCAACCCCCTGCGTGGGCAGGGACACCTCCCACCAGCCCAGGCTGCTCCAAGCCCCATCCAACCTGCCCTTCAACACTGCCAGGGATGGGGCAGCCACAGCTTCCCTGGGCAACCTGGGCCAGGCTCTCACCACCCTCACAGCAAAGAATTCCCTCCTCATGTCCAGCCTCAATCTCCCTCTTCCAGTTTCAATCCATCCCCCTCATCCCATCCCTCCCTGCCCTTGTCCCAAGCCCCTCCCCAGCTTTCCTGTTGTCCCCCTGGTGCAGAAAGGGATGCATGCAAAAAAAGAGGCAGGAACAGCAAAATGCAAAAAAAACCCCAAAACCAAACCCAAACCAACATGGGAGTGGAAGGAGGGAAAGAAATGATGCAGTAACAGGAGGCAAAGGCAGGAGGGAAAAATGGATAGATGCAAAAAAAGGGCCATAGAAAGGGAAGCAGCAGGATGTGGAGATGCCAGGGAGGGATGCAAGAATGGGAAGGGGGAAAAAAAGTGCAGGAGTGGGGAAGATGTGAGAACACAACTCAACGAGTGAGGCAAGGGTGGGAAAGTGCAAAGAGTCTGGGGATGCAACAGGAATCCAGTGATGGAAAGGGGCAGGAATCTGGGGGTGCAGAAATGTGAAGGTGCATAAATGAGTGAGAGGATGCAGAGGAGTGGGAAGAGATGGGAAAATGCAAAGCTGCAAAGGGGCAGGGATGCAGGGATGGAAAGGGGCAGGGATGCAGGGATGGAAAGGGGCAGGGATGCAGGGATGGAAAGGGGCAGGGATGCAGGGATGGAAAGGGGCAGGGATGCAGGGATGGAAAGGGGCAGGGATGCAGGGAT